TGGGGGGGGGGGGTGTTGCTTAGAAGGGGGGGGGGGGGGACAGTGAGGACCATAATGGGGATGCCAAGATGTAAAATGAGCCAGGCCTGGACTTTTTGGATTTTCCAGGGGGGAGGGGGGGTTGGCAGGGATCGCTGTTGTTTAAACTGTTAAGCCTATTTTAGGGCTTACATATAATTTTCCACCTTTCCCATCTCAAAATGGTGGGGCACTATGGCACCATTTTTGGGGCAATTTTGGTCAACAAGTCATTGAGGGCCAGACAGAAAGGTATCTGGGACCTCAGTTTGGCCAAAGCTGCACTAATCCAACAGTTCTAGCACATATCCAAAACATCTGGAAAAGGGCCATATTAATAAATATACAACCGTCATGTTCTGAGAGTCAGGGAAGCAGTCTATTATGCCTACTAAAACATTATAAATATTTTGCACATCCTGCTGTAGAAAGAGTTGGAAACAAAAAAAGTTCCTGGGGAAACGCATCTGTCCAAATGTTCTGCATGGGGTTCTTAAATTGGGATGGGAGATTGTTGTGCCCCGTGGCAAATGAATATTTTTGGGATGAGGAATGAAAACAGGGTGAAATACGCAATAGAGAATTGCTAGCACTCATCTGCTCTTGCTTCTGGAGACTCAGACCCCACAGCCATCTAAGCTGCAGAATGCCTCTGCCTCTGTGTGGAAAATCAAGGGGCAGTGGTGGCCCAGGAAGGTACAGGGTGATTTCCAAAGTAGCACGGGCTTAGTAGAACAAACCTGGCTGATGCTGCCAAGTTCATCCATAGCCCTTAGGTAGACTGGTGATACTGCAAAGTCATTTCTATTATTATTCCCTGCATCCTCTTTCTCTTTAAGCAATTTGCCAGGAAGATATTAGTCACATTATGTCTTACATTATGGAAAATAAATATTAAAAATGTTTATATAAAACCTCATCATTAATGGATACCAATTTCCCTAAAAAAACAGAGGGGAGAAACTTTATACCACACAAGCCTGGAACTCATATCACTACTTCTGAAATTTTTCACATTTCAAAATTCAGGAAAATAAGTCTTGGGCCTACCTGGTATCAGGCTTTTTACAAGTGACTGATAATGAATATTTGACCTAAAATTCCCAATATTCCTTAACTATTGCCAGTGACAACTGGCAGTCATAGAAGTTTAAATCCCATTTATCTACAGATTTAGAGGCATGTTAATTAACCCTTCCTTATCTTGAAAAAAAACGTATGGATTAATTTGAATCAATCTCTCTGTGTATACAATCATATATATTTATAAACACACATACACACATACAGTAATAAACAATCTATCTGAAACTACTGGAAGACCACACTTATGGCTGCTCATAGTAAAAAAATGTCACTTATATCTTAGATTTTTAAGAAAGTCTATTTGCAGTTTAGTGGGCTACATTTAGTGAACATTCAGAGTGTAGTCAGTATAGTGAACATTCAGAGACCAGATTTGAGAAAGTATAACTAAATTTGTGTTGATTCATACTCTGAAAGAAATTAAGCTATTTACTAATGGAAATATCCTTTGATCTTAATGTGAACTGACATTAAAAAGTGTTTTGAAAACATGATTAACAGTTTATGAACTGCAATGGAGAAATATAGGAAGCTGACTTGCATCATTTCTGAACTGGTGTGTTTCGCACATCCCTACCTAGTCTTGTCCTCTGAGTTGACAATACTAGGCACAGTAGATAGAAACATGGTCTCTCCAGTACAAGTCATTCCCAGCAGTTGCTATCAGAGCTCTTAAGTGTAGCAGACAAGAATGAACCTTGGAACTTCTGCATGTAAAACATGTCCTCTCCTACTGAGCTATAGGGGGTACCTGAGCTTTACTCGTACAGTTTGCAAAAAGTAAGCTGTGATTGAATCAATGGCATACAAACCACAGTACTTGCTCTGTCAAGCATTCCCAGTCAATCCTGTTATTCAAATTACAGTTGTTTCTAGAGAGTTACCGAATTTTAAGGGAACATGCTCCAATTCTATTAATGAACAGGTATTAGAAAGGAATTATTAATATTAACTTTGTTCAATAGATGTGGAGTAAATAGATGTGTGTTTTTAGCATATTTTAATTAGTTAATTAATATTTATCTATTTTAATTAATGTTTATTCTATTTTTACTGTAAACTGCCCAGAGTCCCTCCACAGTGAGATGGGCGGTGACAAATTTGAAATATAAATAAATTTGAAATACAAATAAATAAATAAATATAAATAGTAGAATTTATGAAACATTCAGACACATTTTAAGGGAACATGCTCCAATTCTATTAATGACCAGGTATTAGAAAGGAATTATTAATATTAACTTTGTTCAATAGATGTGGAGTAAATAGATGTGTGTTTTTAGCATATTTTAATTAGTTAATTAATATTTATCTATTTTAATTAATGTTTATTCTATTTTTACTGTAAACTGCCCAGAGTCCCTCCACAGTGAGATGGGCGGTGACAAATTTGAAATATAAATAAATTTGAAATACAAATAAATAAATAAATATAAATAGTAGAATTTATGAAACATTCAGACACCATGCGTCAGTACTAACCTCCATCCACAGCCAGGCCAAGTACATGCAAAAGGTTTTTCTCCTGTGTGCCTTCTTAGATGGGCTTTCAAATGGCTGCTTTTTGTGTACATCTTGGTACATCCAGGGAAAGTACATTTGTGCATTTTAATGAGTTCTGCTGCAGGATTCTTTTGAAACTTTTGACCCATGATGACCCCAGTTTGACCCTGCATTGTACCTCCTGGACCGATAGGTTTTGCAGCTATCGGAACTGGAGCTATGCGGACAAATTTGGAAGATGAGTTCAAGTTGGATGATTGAACAAGTTGTGGCACCAATGCAAAAGTTTGCCCTTGGATGTTGACCAAAAGCTGTGCAATTTTAATGTTTTCTTGCACTGGTCCTTGCGAACTAGGGCTCACATTTGATGCTTGTTTAACTTGAACTGGCTGAATCTGGAGCATGACTGGTATCCCTCCATCAAGGGACATTGTTCCATTACATGCATGGCTACCTTCCATTGCACCATTTGATTGTTCATTTTTACTGTCTTTTAAACTAACACTTGGCACCATCTGGTCTTTTTGCTGTATGGAAGCTACAGTAATTTGGCTGCAAGCTCTCATGTCTTTGGTCTCACTCTTAGGTCCTTCTTTGAGATCAGACTCCATGTTCTCTTCCAGAAACTCCTCTATCTCCTCAAGGGTGGGCTGGAATGGTCCAGAATCTTCCATCTCCACCATGAACTCAGGCATTCTAAAATTCTCCTCCTTCACAATGGGCTGAAGTCTCCTTTTATCCCACCAAGAAGTATGGCCATTCCCCAAAGATGCCTGGGACAACAAATAGTCCAAGATACTGTCCTGATTCTCGGCACTTGATGAGCTCCCATAGCTGGAGCCTAGAACCTGTGAATCTGGACTTGAACAAGAACAAAAACTTGAGGAATCACTGTCATCTTCAGACACTGGGGAAGGCAGCATTTGGTATGACCTCCCAACTGCTGTCATGTCCCCAAAGTATCCAATCGAGGGCCTGGTGGATGAGAAAGATTCATCCGCAGGAAGCAAGTGATCCACCATTCCTGAATAATCTCTTTATGCGTATCCCACCAGCATGTACCAAACAGGTGAAAACCTGAATATGGGAAACACAAACATTGACAGTCAGAAGCCAGATTTAATTGTTCATCTCAATACACTGAAACCCTGTAGCTCAATTTAGAATGCCTATTGAGTGCAGCACATGTTGCTGCATGTTTCGATACAGCTTGTATCACCCAAGAGGGTTTCTTGAGTGCTTGAAAGCTTTCTCCAAGATTGCACCACATGCTTGCAAAAGAATTATCTCCCAAAACATTTCACAACTATACATCCTTTAGATTTACAACAGCCTTCTTTTCAAAAGTTTGCTGGCAAAAAGACGAGTTCTGTGTTTTTAGCCATTAATCCTACAGATAAAGCTAAAGAGTACTCAGAAGGAAAAAAAGAATACCGAGGCTACTCCCATACCTGAACTTTTGCTTCAAACAGAGCACTTATTCCTGGAAAACAGTTTTGCACCAGCTTTATTTTTAATTCTTTTGCATATACAAATATAGGCTAATTACTGTAATGCAAGGTTCAGAATAGTCTTCAACAGCAAATATACTAGGACAATTTTCCTTTCTAAATTAATGAATCGAGCTTTGAGCATTATTATCTTCAGTGCTGGTCCTTATAAGGTTTTGAACCACGCAGGATTCCTCAGTTACCATACTTCTGGAGATGGAGTACATTTTTGCTCTACCAGCTTCTACTTCCAATAAATAAATAAAGATTATGGGCAAAAAATTACATTCATTTTTTTTTTCTCTACCTTTGGCCTGACTACACTTGGCCTGACTACAAGTTCACTGTTAAATGGTTGCAGCCTCATTGCCTGCATTATTGAATACCTATCATTTGCAAACACTGCCTTAGAGTGATCAAAACCACATTCCATTTCTAAATTTGGTTTAGAATTAGCACTTCATTCAGGTTTTGGATTTCAAAGCCTTATGACCAGTCTATTCTGCTGAGTGCTGACATCCATCAATTCATTCAACTTCAGAAGGAAAGGGTTCCATCTCTACAAAGCCCAGCATTAAAAAAAAAAAAATCACTCACAGAGATCCATTCTACTCATCAAAGCAGAATTCACACAGAGGTTTGCTACTTTCAGATGGAAACAGAAGCTGAAAATGTCTACAACCAACCTTTGCCGATGTTTTTGTCCTAGTGAAGTTGATTGGTTGAAAAAAGGACTTTATGAACACCCTTAAGAATATACATGTTTTTATGGAAGATATGATGATTATGGAGGCAAGTTATTGGGTCTGGATTTGCAAGGCATGCAGGGAGAGAGACAAGAGTTAGAGAAGATGCATTGTAATAAAAGGCCTGTAATCTACCATAAAAGAAGTACCAAACACACCTTTTCACATTATTTTTAACATGATCTTTTGCTATTGCTATGACCACTTTGCCACAATATTGTCCAAAGAAAGGGACAGCATCTTCACATAACTGATACAATTTATTCTGCATATTTAACTTCCCTATCTTTGTTTTCTTCCACTCGAAGGAAATGAAATCCCACATACAAGATAAATGGGTAATTTAGCAAGAGGTATTCTGCACAATGCCTTTCACTTGCTCCATCAGCACCAGTCCATTAATATTCCACATGACATCCAACAGAGGACAAGTACATTTCTCTGAGATATGGCTTCTTCACCAATCCAAGATGGGGATGGGGACAGTTAGTTTGGAAGAAAAAGCACTAATTGGCCTGCCAAGTTGTACACTTTAAGCATGAATGTCAGGCTTCTCTTTTGGTCAACAGACAACACATATGAAATGCTTACATACGTAAAACAGCAGGAAGTTCAAGCAAAGGTTAGAGCCCATGTTGTGTGATTCACCCTACAAAAAGTTTCAATAGCAAAAGTAATTCCTCACATAACTGGTTTAAATGTTCAGAGCCAAAGCAAGCCAATTACACTCCAATGAAATGGCAGCGTACACTTCAAAACGTTCTCCTTGGTTCCACAAACGTTACCTCATACTCCTAGATGCATCTCACTCAGAAGTCTTTTGGGACTCATTCCCAGGATATGAACACTGGATTGCAGCTTTAATCAGTTTACTCACTAGCTTAATTAACTCAAGCTTTCGTTAAATCACTACTATGGGAAATGTTTTATCTGTATGTCTGGAAGTAGGCGAGTATTTGGTTATTTGTTCAGGCTGTTTTGAGGCTGGTACATTGGCATGTTTTCCTTTTAATAATGCACTGATTATAAGTATATTTCAGACCCATAACACTGTACCTGAAAAAAATCAACTTGAAAGGTTTTTTAAATCTACAATTGAATTTATATTTAATCAAATAATTAATTCTTTCTTTGACAGGCAGATGGCTAGGCAGGCAAGTATGGTGTCAGTTTGTAAACTGGTGCTTGAATTTACTCAGGAAAGAACGGCCATATCTACTAATACAGTGTGACTAAGCCTACAAAATGGACATAGTAATCTCCTTCGCCCTCTGAAAAACTTGATTGTGTAAAATGCAAAAAAGCCACAAGGATTGCAAATGGTAGAACTGGAAGGCATTCCCGCTTGATTTTGGTTTTGCCCAGGGTTGTTCTTCTGACCATGTCTGGTCAGTTCAGGATGAAACTGAGTTCTTCCAATCCTAGTCAGACACTTTGGCCATACTGGCTGTTCCAGAAACATGACGTTTAGCCAAATGATTCAGAACTTGAGAAGAGACCTCTTCTCTGCTCTAGCCTTGCCACAACTTAGTTGGAGTTGCTTAAGGGAACTCAGGGAGACCCAAGTTCAAGTCATAGCAGCATCCTATTCTACATCACCCACAAAGAGCCCAGCAAGTTGGTTTTCTCCCTCTTTTAGAAAAGGATAGGAATATTTTATCCTGGTAGCAGGGGGAGGGAGTTCAGCATTTTTATTTCTGCTTTTTTACAGCTGCATTTTGCTAATCTAAATCTGTTTGTAATATCCTGATGTTTTTAGACTGTGCTTTTAAAATTATGATTAATTTTAATTAATAATCTTATATAATTATTATTTATTGGGTAAATTCTTTCTAATATTCCAGTGCTATGTTACACAGAGTAGCCAAAAACAAAATTAAAATAACTGAACAGAAAATACACTCCAAAAACAGTGAAATATATTCGATTTCTTCCTTTTTATATTAACATTATTTCCCATTCTGCAGTCATACCATGGGAGACACAGTGTTTATAAATGAATAAGTAACTAAGTACATATTATACATCATCACCAGTTTGACCTAATTCTAAGGCTGCAATTGGACATAGGGTTAAGCAGCTCGCTCATATCCAAGGCTGACAGTGCCATTCAGCCTCTTCAGGGAACGGGTCTGATGTCACGAAAAGACAACCAATTGTTTATTAGCAATGAGAATGATAATTGCATTTTCACTGCCAAGGAGGGATGGGCTGCTAGTGGGATTTTAGTCTTGTGCATTCTTCACTTTGACCAGTGGGGAGCCATGTCTAGCTCTGCCCAAGGGGAACAAATGTCTCGGGCTCTTGGGGTAGCTCCTTACTCAAGTTAGGTTTTGTGGACATGTGCAGTGAAATATATTATAAGCAATGTTTTTCAGCTTACACACTGACTGGGCTACACCAGGATTTGTTGTGACAAAACTGAACTAGGGCAAGTCAAACCAAAATCCCCAAATATTAACTGGAATATATGATTGGACAATATTTACCCAGGCTTGGTGTCCTATGTTCCAAATATTTAAATAGGAGCATCTCTTCTTGAGATTTTACTGTCACAATTCTACCCAGAACTAGACACCCTTACAGCATAATTCTCTCCATTTCAGATCAGAAGCATTGATTCAGAGGGGCTAAAAGCAAAGTCAAACAGGTTGCAACTTTAAGCCCTCTGTTTTGTATTGTGATCACTGGATTTACTGTAGGAAACATCCAAGCTGCCATGCAAGTAATGAAGAGATATAGCATTGGAAAACGGAAGCATCTGTGCCAGTAAAAGATGCAGAGCAGAGTAGAAGGACAGACAGAGAAAGCAAAGATAGAAGCTCTCTTTGTAAATTTTAAGCTTCCCCAACTGGGTGCCTCCAGATATTTTGGGCTTCATCTTCTTATGTTGGTTGGCATGCCCAACCCATTTGGAGAACTCCTAATTGGGGAAGGCTGGCTTAAATTTCCTTCCCCTGGTTGGATACTACCATTCAAAACACATAAAAATGATAGCAAAGTTCAGCATTTCCAAAGAATGTCATATTAGCAGGCTATATGAGAGGGCGGTTGGAATACTAGCAGAGTCTCTGAATCACAAGTATACTTCCTAATTAAAGGTCAGCTATTCTTCATCTTCCATCTACCATATCAATGGAGTCCACAGGACTATCTGACTCAAGAAACATGAACATTGGGTAAAGATGCCCTGCTCAGTAGAAGGATCCAGGACCTTAAGCCACTTCCCTTGCCCATCCAAGCGGTCATTCAATGCAGGTTCAATTCTGGGTACTGCAGAATGCAAAGGCAAATTGTATGTAAACAGTGAAAAAGTTGAGCAAGTGGATGAATTTGTATACCATGGTAGTATGCTTACTAAAAATAGAAAAATGAATAGACAAATTTTAAGACATGTAAATGCTGGAAGAAAAGCTGTGGGTAATGTGTGATCTATTGCAAACTACACATGCATGTTCAACAATGAAGATGGTTGTGTATAAGAGGGTACTCCTGCTTAGTTTGTAATAGGGAAGTAAGAATTTGGGATGTCAGGAGAAACTTGACATGAAAGCTGGTTGGGTGACCTTGGGCCAGTCACTCTCTCTCAGCCCAACCCACCTCACAGGGTTGTTGTTGTGGTGAAAATAGGAGGAGGAAAAAGTATTAGGTATGTTCGCCGCCTTGAATTATTTATGAAAAATAATACAGGCGGGGTAAAAAATCTAAAAAACACCTCAAAAGTAATCTGAATGCAAATGAAATGGGCTATCAAAGAAGTGTATATGGTAAAGCAAGAAGACATAGGGTCAAGAATGAATGGGCGACTGAACACCAGAAGTCTGTGATGAGTATTAAAGGA